TGCTAGGACATTAGGTTTCGTTTGTAAATGTTTGGACCTGCAAATGTAATAATAAATAAATATATACGTTAAATAAACATAAACATATATATATATATTATAAATATGAGAATGAGACGAAATTAGGTGTCTACAACCTCTAAGAATAACAACAATTCTTTTAACCTCTAAGATCGTTTGATTCGTACAAAAATATTTAAAAAAAGACACTTATATATTATTATTAATAAAATTTTGTAAGTTGATAAATATAAAATAAAATTTCAAATGTAATCATAAAATGAATCATTAATAAATTTTTTTTTAAATTTTAAGATATACATTTACTTATCTTAAATAAATCATGGATCCATCGTCAAATTCTAGGCATTCATCATCTTCATTCACCCTTCCATCACTCAAGAACCAAATTCACTGATGTTCACCATCTTCGTCTGTTTCTCTTAAAAGAGCACCGTTGAACCTTCCGGTTCATCTCTGTCTCGAACCTTCCGGTTCACTTAAGGATTTTATAATTTCCTTTCATAAAAGATGGTTTCATAGATGATCAATTAGGGATGGTAAAAAAATTTGAATCCGACGGGGAAAATCGAAAATCGAATTAAACGGGGATGAGAAAAAATTGTTTATGCTAAATGGGGACGGGAAAAAACCGTTTATGCTAAATGGGGACAGGGATGGGTATGGTGATACCCGGCCCGATACCCGGCCCGATACCCAGCCCGATAAATATTAAAAATAATTATTATATATATAATATTAATAAATTTAAATTAAATTAAAAAATATATATAATATTTATATATTTAATTTAAATATATATATACTCGGCCCGATACCCGGCTCGATACCCGTTTAAATAACCGTTTATGCTAAACGAGGATACCCGTTTCCCCGCAGTTTTCTCCGATTACCCGATGGAGATCCCCGTTTAAATCTCCGCGATTTTTTAAGCGGGGACGGGTATGAGTTTTTTAAATGGGGACGGAGACGGGGGGACCAATACTCGGCCCGAACCCGGACCGTTGCCATTCCTATGATCAATAGTAACTAGTAAAAAGGATTAACGACGATTCAGTCCTTTTTTATATTTTTTTGATAATTTCTCAAACGATTCTTAGAAAAGTTAACGACATTATTAAATACAAACAAGTTTAATTGAATTTGATAGTTAGTAAGTAATCTTCAATCATTATAAATATAATAAAATTTGATTTAATTAATAATTATGATTTAAATAAATATCTAACTGCACACACGTACAATCATATTTAATTTATCCTAAAAGACTTCAATAAGAAGAAAAAAAAATCTATGAATGAACGAAACAAGAAAAAAGGTTTTCAAAGATCTCTCCACTCTGGTCCTTTGAACAAAAATATACAAATTTTAGACCTTAATTTTCATCTTAAAAATTGACTGAACACTTCGAGTTGGGATAAAAATGGAGATATCACATCTGCTAGGAACCGATGCATCAATCTTCAACAAATTAAACATGGTCACCTTCCCATGCATCGTTGCAACCGACGAGAAGTTGACCGAACCCGACAAAACATCCGCCCAAAACGTAGCGTTCATAATCAAACGCTCCACCTTGAAATCTGCCACCGTGCTGATATGCAGCTTCCCGCGTCTGGGAACCGACGATTGTTCGATCGGAACAGTCGCAACAACACCCCCATGATAGTTTATAAAACCCACGGTGTCCTTGAACTTGAAGCTCCGGTAAAGTTTATCGTGCTCGCATTCAGAATCATTCCCAGACTAAAATCGATGTTGTCGAAGCCTTGAGGGTAAACTGTGATTTCAGGGTTCCTTGGCTTGAAAAGAGTCAGGGCCAAAGCAGTGAAAACGACAGCAACGATGAGTATAAGAATTGCAGTCATTCCACAGCATATTTTGAGACCTCGAGAACCTCTGGCCTTGCCCATTTTTTTAGGGGGAAAAACTTTGGATTGAAGACTAAAATTTGATGAAATTATGATGATAATTACGATTCGTTTGATAAAACGGAGTTTTTAAGAGGAACAATTTAATAATAAAAAAAGGATGTGCTTGATTTGTACTGAAAGTTGAATGCTCTTTGGACTTTGGGTAGAAATCTATTTTGAATCAACTTCTTTGCTATTTGATTTGTTTCCAATTCTTCTTGTCAGTTTAATGGTATTTATAAACTGTTTTTCTTTTTTAGTTAATATTTAATAACTAGATAATCACATCATGACATCTATTAATGAGACAAATATATATACAAATTTATTTTTTTCAATTACTTTTGAGACCCGATAATTCATATTTACCTTATTAAATTTTATTAGTATTATCCCTTTTTTTATTTAGTATTATCATTTATCAAATGACAAAACAACTCAAGTGGAAAACGTATACTCAAGATGTGTTGTGTTTTTATTTAACGTCTTACTTAATATCCACTACGACTAACAGTGCCTCTGAAGGCATAGAGGCAATCCCCATTCTCAACACCATGCCACCTTAAGCTACAATTCTCGCGCATGATCCTTTGCTTGTGTATGAACAAATAATCGTCTTGGGGAAGAATTTTTCTGCTCAACAACAACTCTCTTAATTCGTTAACCGTGTCGCAATCCTTCATTTCCAACGTAATCGCGGCGGCATTCAACAGGCTCGAAGACATTTGCACCACTACGTTCAGCTTCTTCGACGGAGGGTCTTCCCTCAAACGATTCATGGTTTTCAAGAAAACAATGATTTCCGAGGATTCGGATACCCCGTATTCACTCAGGTTCCGGAAATCGTATGTCATTTCTTTTCCGGAGAAAAAGAGTAGCATTCTTTTTATCGGTGTGCCATCGATGATGTGGATTTTTTCTTTTAAGCTGCGAACCGTCTCCGTCGTATCAACTTCGATGGCGATCTGCTTAGCCAAAAATTTCACAATGATCTGCAGTTTACTGCAATGATTAAATGGTGGTGAAAGTGGTTTCATCGCGGTAAGGTTGATTTTGGTACCGTGTGTGACGATCGGATAATCCTCCATGTCTAATCCGTCGACGAGCTCCCAACCAGAGACCGAAAGTGTTTGTGATCCTACTGGAATTCTCAGGAACTGTTCTAACTTTCTTTTGATCGTTAAAACAGGTTCCTGGAAACCGATTTCCATGGCGAATTCTCGTCCCCAGGCAACAATGGTTACTCTCATTGTGCCAAATCCGAAATAAAGGAGTAGAAGAAAACTTACAGATTTCAGTACTAATCAATGCATGGAATATTTTTTTATAGAGTTTTTAGTTTATTCTTGGTTGGTTTGTGATTGGAATTTGAAATGAAAAATCATGTAAATTGGATTCAAGAATATGAGTGATGGATCACGTTTGATGAATGAGAAATCATGCAAATTGGCAATTAAAATTAAGCATGACTGATTTTGCAATTTTGACGGTTAAATGCCTGTTCATTCCTCTTACATTTTGCAACTGAGTTGAAGCATGAGTGAATAAAAAATATAAATTTTGCCAAAATAACACAAATTAAAACATAACTGTTGTTTATCGCATTTTGCAACCATAGAACAAATTTACTACAAGTTATAATTAGTTTTATGTTGGTAATTTGTATATGAATCGAACTTGAATAAATAAATTTGTGCTTGTGTTCGTTTGTTTTTTTCTCAAGGTGTTCTTATTTGGTCCGTGTTCATTTAAATTTTTAATGTCATACATATTCGTGTTTGTTTATTTATTGTTCACAAACATATTCATTCAACATTTATAAAAATGTTTATTTATACATTTATGAACATGTTCGTTTAGTGTTCACGAAAGGAGCAATTTCAAACAAAACTTTTTTTCTTTCCCGATGAACATTAGGAGCATATGTGTTTGAGTATACTAATTAAGCAGAAGGAATAGTGGAATCAATTTCTTTTTGAAATATATTCGATTAAAAAAATTTAAATTCAAATTAAATTATAAAATATATTTAAATATTTAGTAATTAATTGATTGATTTTCAAGTTCGTGTCAAGTTTCTCAATTCTATATTATATATGTATATCATATATGGAAAAAATATATATTTATATCATATATAGTTTTAGAAAATCTTTTAAATTGAAATCAAATAATATCATAATATTATAAATATTTATAATTTAATTTAAATAGAAATTCGAATAACTCTACTCAATTCGAATTTTATAAACTTGACTAAACTAAAATAATTTTAAATAAAATTTGAGTTATAAAATAAAACTCATCAACTTGACTAACTTAAATTTTTTTACTCAACGCGATTAAACTCTTACTTCTACTTATCTAATTGCAAACACCAGCATTGGATTTATGATCTTAAAGGACGATCGACAATAATTAAAAAATATACTTTAAATACATAATGTGAATACGTAATATAGTTTAGAAACATAATGTTAATTAAAAAAATTCTATTTTTTTAAAAGAGGATAAGAGATCTAAGGGTAAATTATGCATTTAATACTTAAACTATCAGTTTTGATTTTGTTTTAATACTTAAACTTTAATTTTTTTTAAATCATTCTTAAAGTTTAGTTTCTGTTTTATTTTAGTACCCATTAAAAACTTAACGTTAAATTTTGAAAAAAATTGAAAATTTATGTACTAAAACGGGACAAACTGATAGTTTATGTGCTAAATGCGTTAAGTTTTTTTAATTGTGGTATCCTAAAATGAAACAAAAATTAAACATTAGGTATGCTTTTAAAAAAATTAAAAGTTTAAGTACCAAAATATATCAAAATTAAAAGTTTAAATTCTATAACGGAGTAAAACTGATAGTATAGGTACTAAACATATAGTTTACCCAAGATCTAAAAACCAACCTTTGGAGTGTATTTCGAAAGAGCAAAACCCACACTCTGGTTCTAAGTTTCATATTTGGCATTCTCCAATCTCCATCCCTGGCCCTGCCACTCGTGTCTTTGGATCACTGCTAGTTTCAAGCTCAGACATTTTTCCTTCGATCCCACTAACTTTCAAGACATGGGTAAGATTAATTCTTTATTAACTGTCCGTTCTATTGTTAATGGTGGATGGAATCTCTCTATTTTCCACTTTTCTTTTTCTTCTCCTTTTAACACCACCGCTACTCACATTAAAGCTTTAAGCAAGGCTTCAATGCCTGTGAAGGGAAACCCTCAAAAGCATGATGGTTTTGATAATGTTAATGATGCTTTGGTTTTCTTTAATAAGATGATTGTGAAGTACCCAAAGCCTTCAATTGTGGATTTCAATAAACTATTAGCAACCGTTGTTAGATTGAAACACTATGCCGTTGTTGTTTCTACGTATAGCCAAATGGAATTGTTTGGAGTTCCTTTTGATGTTTATTCATTCAACATCCTGGTTAATTGCTTTTGTCAATTAGGTCGAATTGATTTCGGGTTGTCTGTTTTGGGGAAAATGCTGAAGTTAGGTGTTGAACCTAGTTTCGTAACCTTTTCGACTTTGATTAATGGACTTTGCAAACAAAGCAAGTTTCCTCAGGCTGTGAGTTTGTTTGATGAAATGGTTGAAAAAGGGTATCGACCCGATTTGTTCATTTACAGTACAATACTCAATGGGTTGTGTAAGATCGGCTATACCGACCGAGCTGTTTGGCTTTTAAGGATGATGGAAGAAAGAGATTTCGCACCCAATGTTGTAATATATGGCACTGTCATTGACTGTCTCTGTAAGAACGTGTTGCTGAAGAAGGCTCTCGATCTCTTCTCTGAACTGAAGGCTAAGGGACATCGACCAAATATCGCTACTTACAATTGCTTAATTCATGCTATGTGTAACTTGGGCCGGCAAAAGGAGGTAACAAGGCTTTTGAATGAAATGAGGGAGAACAATATTTCACTCAGTATTATCACATATAATACCTAGGATGATAGGATTTCTGAGGCTATGGATACCATTGACGCAATGAGGAAGCAAGACATTGAGCCTGATGTTGTCACTTATAGTATATTGGTTGATACCTATTGCAAGCGGGGAATGTTTTCTAAAGCTGAACATATTGTCAACACACTGAGAAACCAAGGCATTGAGCCTAATGTTGTTACCTATAGTGCATTGATAGATGACCATTGCTAGCCAAACGAAATGGATAAAACTAGTAGAGTATTTCAGTTTATGATCCAGAGAGGTTGTGAACCTAATATGCGGATTTACAACATCGTGATCAATGGATATTGCAAAGCTAAAAGGTTTGATGAAGCAATGTAACTCTTTCATGAAATATCTCGAACAGGTCCAACCCCGAATATTGTCACTTACAACACTCTAGTGCAAGACTTGTGTCATTTCAGGAGAGTTTCTACTGCATGTGAACTTTTAAAGGAGATGCTTGGTTCTGGAGTAGTTCCAGATCCATTGACCTATTCGATTTTGGTGGATGGCTTATTAAAAAGTGGTAAACTTAAAGAGGCCTTGAAATTATTTCAGGCAATACGGAATAGTGGGTTGGAGCTCGATATTATCTTTTATAATATCGTAATGGATGGCGTGTGCAAAGCTGGGCATATTGAATTTGAAAAGAAAATGTTTAATGAGCTGTCCGTCAATGGTTTAAAACCCACCGTGTCACGTATAATATACTGATTAATGGATTCTGTAAAGAGGGGTAACCAGATGAGGTATACCAGTTGCTTTGCTTAGGAGCACGGAAGATAATGATTGCTTGCATTGCCTAATAGCATCTTTTATAATGTGATGATCCAGGGGGTTTCCGAAACAGTTCTACCTCAAAGGCAACCCAACTCCTTGCGGAAATGGTCGGCAAGGGGTTTTTCTGCAAATTTATGGACTGCCATTGTATATGTTGATCTACTCTTACTACTTGATAAATCAATCTTGATTTAAAAGGTTGGATTGTTAGTGTAACAATCATTTGTTGTGAATGATTAGTGAGATCTATTTTCAGATTTAGTTGACGTGTACCTTAACATCAAGGTTTATTTTGTTATATTAAACTTGTATATTTTCTGCTATAATTTTTTTATCATGTTTAAATTGGACTAATTTTATACTAACTGGTGACATTACCTTGTGTTTGTTTCCAGCATCAATGCCTTGTATGGGGCTGTGGTATAAAATTCCCTTTCGGTTTTACGAGTTTAGCATGCTTTCCTTGAATTATTTTGTGTGTGTGTGTGATGATTAATGGTTTTCAAGGCAGTCAGCAAGAAATGTTTCATCTGGTGGCACTTGTGCTTCGACCAGCCTTCTACTGCATGCAACTACGGGCATAAGCATGCCAAATGCGTATAAACCAGTGCTTGTGCTTGCTTGCAAACTCAGGAGCCATGGTATCCAAGTGTGCCTGCTACATGTGAGGTTAGAGGATTGTGAAAATCTCGCAATCAATCGTACATTTTACCTGTGTATTTGCACATTGGAAGGCTTGATATCTGTGTGAATGATCACTTGCACCCATTGCTGGTGCAGATAGAACAACGCCATAACTATTATCTTTGATGATCTTGAACCAATTAAGGTTGCTGTTTTGGATCACATTCCTGCAATGTGAAAATGGGAGTGGAAGCCATCCAGAAATTCAAAGCAAGAATCTCATTCACCAGAAAACAATTGATCCACGCCATGTCCTGTTTTGAGATGAAAATTGGAGGTAAGGTACCATAAAAATTCATACTTCACCTTAAGATAGTCATCCAGAATTCTCTCATTCCCTTAAGGCATCTTTGAATTTGACAAAAGCAAAGGTAAATTTCTTGTATTTCTTTTCTACATTCAAATCAGCAACGTACACATCTAACGCAATACCATCGGCTACAAACACTCAGAAACCAATGGGTTTACTCGGACCTGACACTCCCCATCTTCTCTCTCTTAACATAACATTAGCTTCAACATTTAATCATCACATTATTATTTTCTATTCATTTTATATCATTTTGATTCATATGATAATAAATTTAACTTTCAACATTTACAAACTATGTCGATTTGATCTTGATTCTAAAAGAATTCAATAAATTCAATTCTTAACACTTGCATAATGCTTAAATTATGTATAGTTCTTTTAGAATTATTGTCAAATTGACAAAATGTGAACACTAAATTAAATTTGTTATTGCATCAATCAAAATTAGTAGGTACTAAATTGCTTCTCTCTTTTTCTGCTGGATCAATTTGCTCACTTTCAAATTAATGAGATCAAATTCCTTCTCTTTTTTAGAGGGATCATTTTTATCATTTTCCTAAATTAACTGGGTGCAGTTTACGTTAATCGTCGGAAAACAAATTGTGGATTGCTCCTTTATTGCAAATGAGCATATTGATGATTTGTCTCGAAGAAAAAGAGATGTGTTTGTATTCAAAGTCGATTTCAAAAAGGCCTATAATTTGGTGGATTGGGGATTTTTGGATCTAACTTTAAAAAAATGGATTTTGGGAAGAAATGACCGTCATAATGACCTTCTGCGGGCCAATGAAGAGTTTTGAAAAAAATGTTATAAAAATGAAAGTCCATCAAATATTTTTATGGATTAAACCACATAAAACTAAATAATTTAAATAAAATTTTGTTTTAATAAATTACCGGTTTTGGTATGCAAAATCAAAAAATGGGTTCGAGAGTCAATTACGTGTTGGAAAGGATTCACATCCAACAACGTCAAATTTTGGTACATAGTTGGTTACCCATTATTTTAAAATAAAAATTATGAATTTAAAATTTTATTTAATTTTTGACACATTATGTATGCAAGTTTGAAAAGGCCATTTATATAATTAGAAATTAATAATAATAATCCCGGACACGAGTGAAAGTCCTATCAAATAAATATTGCCTTAGTTTAGAAATCATGATGCAAGAATTTGAAAAGGATGTCGATTTATTTCGGGAGATAATAATGGTCACCCTCGAGCACAAGGGAAGGATACACTATTAAAACTATAATAAATGAAAAATACCTTTAATTTTTTAAAAATGAATTATGCAATCGAACAACCAATTTTGAACCTAATTAGGTTAATGGGTTAATTAAGGCTTCATCTAACTAAATGTTAAATTATTGATTTTAAAGGACTTAATAAAACTACTCCTAAAATTGAGGCTCTAATATTAAACCTAAAATATTTTAATATCCTCTCGGTTAAGCTAATTTAAAAAATATACAAAAAAAAAAGAAACCTAAAATTAAAGGTTTCATTGAAGTCGAGAATAAATTATTTAATTAAAGAACCTAAAGCTAAAATTGAGACTCTAAATATTACTCATATATAAATTTTAACATTTTAATCGAATAATTAAAAAAAATCCCGAACACAAGCGAAAATTACTTAAAAAAGTATCCTAATTACTAAATTCAAGTAACCTAAATTCAAGACTAAATTAAACAATAAATGGAATCATAGATTGAGGGGGGAATCTGGAAAATATAAAAAACACAAGTAAATAAATAGATACATATAAATGTCAAGGTATTAAACAAATAAGAGGAAACGAAGTAAGAAAATACAAAAAGAAAGTAAAAACATGGAAAAGAAAGTGCAACTCAAGCATATTTAGGAACAAAAGAAGTCAAATTAAAATCAAATAAATAGCCGGCTAGAATAAATTCGTAACCTTTAAGAGGAATTTACATTGAAAATGAAACAAAATGAAAAAAATGGTCTGTCAGATTTATAGAATCGAGGGATGTGGTTTTTAAAACAAAATAAATTTAAAATATGTTGAAATTAAAAGGAAAGTTTAATTTAAGAAACAAAACCCAAATCAAAGTTTAAGAAGATAAAAATAATTTAGGAATTATAACGGGTCAAATATGTATATTATAAAAAAGGTATTATGAAAAAAAATTAAATATGTATAAAAAGAAACAAAATCAAGATAAAATAAGGAAAAGTACGACAGGTTTAAAAAAAATAAAAGTGTGATCATATGAAAAGGATTAGAATGAATTTTAAATAACACTTTTAGGGGCCAAGAGAGTAAATTTACCCTACCCTTTTGTCAGGCGAGATCCAAGGGGCTCAAATGGGTCTTCGGGTCGAGTATAAAACATAAAATGTAGGAAAACAATTTCAAACCTTACTTTCTTATTTTCTCTTAACATGTTCTTCATTTCCTGAAGAACGTTCAATCGAAGTTCAAAGGGGACCTAAATTATGGTGGTACTTTGCCTCATCGTCCATCGTATATCGGCGTTGACCACTGATAACTCCGTAAAAAGGTTATATTTAGAGCCTTTTCACTTAAGTTATTTGTTGTCTTAGGGCACATTTAGGTTCATATAGATGCATTTAGGACCATGTAGTTGCATTTGGCGGATTCAAATTGTCGTGGCATTCTATTTTGCAACTGGTTCTACTTAATGGGGAATGTAGTGTTGGATGATTTTGTGTAGGTTCATGGACCCAAAGGTGAGCAAGGAGAATTGCCGTAACAATTTGGGATGATGAAGCATGGGGAGAATGCTGCGGCGGCTACGACAACATTTCTAAGCACAGGAAAAGACAAAAAAGTTTAAAATTTTTTTTATAAAAGAGCTAGCTTTCCATCCCACACGTGATTCATGTTGCCTGTCACCTAAGAGGGGACCACTGCCACCTTTTACACCCTTTTACGTGTGGGAATGTTACCTAGGGTACTAATGGAATTTTGGAACAAAACCCTAGGACATTCCCTTAGTATAAATAGAACATGATACCACAAAAATAAAAGAGTTTTTTTTGGGAAAAAGGGAGAGGTACGCAATAGTGAAAGGTAACTACAAACCTTCCATTTTCTTCCTCTTTCATATTCTTTGTGGTGACCTCTATAGCCAATCTCAAGGGAGTGGCGAGCTAAGCATCCGAGAGAAGCTAGCGTTGCTAAGGTGGTTCGAGGTGTCTCGAGGGAGCGCACAGCAGCGCGTGTG